ACTTGCAGCTCTTTTCTCAGACTTGCCCAAAAGTAACTGCAAACCGAGGGTTTGCATTCTTCTATTTAAAATTGGTTTCAAAAATTCGAGATTTTGCAGGCACGGAGGAGCCGAATTTAAGTCTTCTGTGCCGACAGAGCAGGAGGAGGAGGAGACTCTGTGCTGTTAAGTTCATTTTTTATACACAGCTATACTTGAAATAGGACACCTCAATGACCACTCATTAAAAATTTCAACAGTTTGAAAGTGGATCCATACTCAAAGCAAAACAAACTTACAGGCATTTTCTGAAGTTGTTTTTTTGTTTTATAGAGGAGCTTGGGTAAGCAGTGCAGACCGGTAAGTGAAATTGAATGGACACGCACCTACCCCAAAGCGGACCCCAATTTGACCCAATGAAGTTGGCTGTGAGGCTGAGAATGGAGGCAAATTAGAGGGAGCAATTTTACTGCCTAATTCTTCTCACGAGAAGACAAAAGCCTGTGAGAAGTAACATGGTATGCGTCTTAGGCAACTCTACATGACTGGCATCCAATGTTGTTAGGTAAAAGCACACAATACAGAAAAGTTGGGTGGTAGTACTTTGTGATTTAAAAAAAAAAGTCGGAGTGGAGGTAGGGAAACAGATACCCACACACACACACACATACACACACACACAAAATCAGATTTGATTGACCTAGAGACACTTCTTGTGAACAATACCAGGTCCAACCTCCTCGTAATCCTCTTTGGAAATCCACACCTTTCTGAAGGAGGATAGAGATCCCAGTATTGAACCACCTATCCACACGCAATACTTCCTCTCAGGTTGAGCCACAATTCGTACACTCACTGATGAGGGTGCCATCTCAGAAATATCCTTCTTTAGTCGATCTGCCATACCGGGAAACATTGTTGAGCCTCCAGAGAGCACTACATTGTAGTAGAGATCTTTACGTGTATTCATATCGGACCGTCCAATTGACTGAAAAACGGATTCTGCTAGACCAGGACACTCCTTTCCAATTAGAGACGGTCGCATTAATGCCTCTGCACACTGAAATCGTTCACTTCCTATGGTGATTACATGACCATCTGGTAGTTCATAGTTCTTTTCAACTTCTCCAGTCGTTTCTGCACGAATTAATTCCTCCTCAAAATCACGAGCAACATAACCGAGACGCTCCTTAATTTCACGAACCACTTCACGTTCGGAGGTAGAGCGAAAGGCAGTTCCACGTCCACGAAGCAGTCGCATTAGGTATTCAGTCACTTCTCTCCCCGCTAGATCCAATCTGTCAATTGCTGAGGTGATAGCATAACCCTCGTAGACTGGAATGGTATGAGTTGCTCCATCACCGGAATCTAACACAAGACCGGTCATTCTTCCGGACGCATGCAAGGCTAGAACAGCTTGCAGTGCAATATACATTGCAGGAACGTTGAATGTTTCAAACATAATAGTGGCCATTCGTTCCCGATTTGCCTTTGGATTAAGTGGTGGATCAGTGAGAAGAACTGGATGCTCCTCTGGATTAACACGAAGCTCATTAAAGAAGATCTGATTCCAGAGTTTCTCCATGTCCTCCCAATCATTCACATAACCATGCTCAATAGGATGTTTGAGGAAGAGCATACCACGTTTTGTTTGTGCCTCATCCCCCACATATGCATCCTTCTCGGCCATTGCAGTGATCACCGACTCATACTTGGGACGTCCGATGACCGAAGGAATGACAGAGCGTGGCGAATCCTCGCCGGCAAAACCTGACTTGCTAACTCCAGAACCGTTATCGATCACAACTGGCACAGCCTCTTCTCCATACATCTTTGTGCTTGTGTGTAAGTGTGCCAATGCGTATGCGTGCAGGAGGTTTAGTGGAGAGGAGTTTCACCTGAACCTACTTATATTGCGTGCCGCACAGTGCTCTGCAAAGTCAGTTGCTATTGGCTCATGCACGTTTGCAGTGTTACTCAACTTCAAGCATTCAGTGCTCAAGAGTTTGGAGACAAGTGTTAAGCTAATAAGATTGATCCGTTGGCACTTTTGTCAGTTGGATTGAGCGAAGACAATTGGATAAGGTGTAGCGCCCATTCAAACACAGGTGCTTTGCTTTTATTACACGCTTCCAATTTCATCTCAAACCTACTTGTAGGTGAATTATTAAGTCTCCAAAAATGGTCACAAGTCAGTGGTTGTTAAAGACTCGAGTTTACTGCACAATCAGTGAAGATTAGTCGATCTAAAGGCATAACTTTTTGACAATTGTGTTGTTCTGTTTTAAGTTCTGCATTCCACACATTTGTCCATCTCAAAATCCCAGGCAAGTTGAGTAGGTGACTGCCAACTGCTCCACAGTGCGTGTACACACGAGTTGATTTTATGAAGCGCCGCCACGTGTTGACAGTTTTGAACGACGGACAAAAATGACACCCAATAAGTAAAAATTCAAACACGGTCTTACCTCGTCCTCCCTTTCACTTCTTTACCCAAACAAAGGGACTTTACTTAAATGTAGGGGTTTTAAAAAATTGTTATCCTTTTTTTCTATCCTAAAACAATCCATTTTTCATTCACCAGGCTTACATGATGGCGCACATATTATAAAGTGAATGGAAAGTAATTTTCCAGTAATCCTGCCTTAATCAAATCACTACCAACCAATCACGAGGCAGCATTCGATTCCAATTTGACTAAAAATGCAATTGAGTACTCGTCTTAATCACCTTTTTACTCTGTGCCATTGTAGAGACCCTTCCAAATTGCATTATGTGAGGTGTAAAATTGCAATGGGTAGTTATACACTCCTTTTAATCAAATTTAGTGAAAACATTGTGGCAGCAGTTGGGTTTCGGGCTTCGTATTTTTACAAACAAAGGCCTGTTATGCGTAAAAGGTACTGCGAGCAGATACATTTAATGAGGTGTTTTTTTTACAAAGAGCAAATCTTTTGTGCCGTACTAAAAAGCTGGACGGATTGTGCAGCAGTTTCTCCAATCTCTTTCCCTCCCTTTCTGTTCAAAAGTCGACATCAGACGCAGAGAAAGGCCTCTTGAGGGACAGAGTTTGTTACTTGTTGATAGTTAACAGTGGTGAGACAGTCAGGGGTGTTGCACCAGAATCGTAGGCTGTCACAGCGAATTTGGCACTGTCCTATCTATCATGCTAACATCAATGAGGGACTTCCGGCCTGCTGAAGGCAACTCTTGCCTTCGTTATGTAATCAACCTCTCAAACACAATGTCGACATGCCTTCCGGTGGCGATTTTCCCTCCACCTTGATGTGGTGTGACTACGGACTGGTGGAACGAGGTTTGAATGGGTGAAGAGGTACAAACCCTCTTTCGAGGAGGAGTCTGAGCTCCTTCTTTACTACTTTTAATCATGGAAGGGTTTTAGGAGGTAAGTAGTGCGTGAAGTTTGATTGACAGGTGTGAGAACCACACTCAAGTAAAGGAGGTGCTTCAAACGTGCCTGGATCTTGTCGCTTCAAATAGCCTTTTCTAGCCCTCAGGGTCCGGAGGAATCATGAAAGCCTTATTACAGGCATGGGATGAGGATGAAATGATAAAACTATTAAAATAACTTAATTTTAGTCAAGAACTGAGTCAGACACTTTAAAGCACTGACCCTAAACCACTAACCCTAGAAGTTTGAGGCTTGTCAAAAACAGAGGTCATTTTAATTCTTCCTCAGTGTATTGAAAAATTTACCTGTTCAAAGCAGACAGCAATCTTCTGCAACGTCCAGGTTTGTTTAGTATCTTGAGGCGTGTC